TGCTATTCAATCTATAACAGTGAAAAAAGTGTTTGTTTATTTTAAATCCAAGCTTTGTGTCACCAGATCTAAGTGGTGGCACTGGTCACCGTATCCACTGTTAGCGTAACACACCCGCTTTAAGGACACTGACTGCTATTCAATCTATAACAGTGAAAAAAGTGTTTTTTGTTTTTAAATACAAGCTTTGTGTCACCAGATCTAAGTTGTGGCACTGGTCACCATATCCACTGTTAGCGTAACACACCCGCTTTAAGGACACTGACTGCTATTCAATCTATAACAGTGAAAAAAGATTATTTTTTTTTTAAATCCGAACTATTGTGACAACAGATCTAATTAGTGGCACTTGTCAGCGTATCCACTGTTAGCGTAACACACCCGCTTTAAGGACACTGACTGCTATTCAATCTATAACGGTAGAGAGAAAAGAAAGTGTTTTCTGTTTTTAAATACAAGCTTTTGTGTCACCAGATCTAAGTGGTGACTGGGAAATGGGCACAGTATGCACTGTGAGCCTGACACAGAAGCTGGCAGCAGTGGCAGACAACTGACTGCTATTCAATCTATAACAGTGAAAAAAGTTTTTTGTTTTTAAATCCAAGCTATTGTGACACCAGATGTAATTGGTGGCACTGACTGGGGAAATGGGCACAGTATGCACTGTGAGCCTGACACAGAAGCTGGCAGCAGTGGCACACAACTGACTGCTATTCAATCTATAACAGTGAAAAAAGTTTTTTGTTTTTAAATCCAAGCTATTGTGACACCAGATGTAAGTGGTGGCACTGACTGGGGAAATGGGCACAGTATGCACTGTGAGCCTGACACAGAAGCTGGCAGCAGTGGCAGACAACTAAGTGCAATTACATTACATAGAAAAAAAAAAAAAAAAAAGCATACCCTTATCCCTAACCTAGCTATGCTTTTCCCTATCTTATGAACAGCAGCTACACTTTCCCTCCTCTTACTAAGCATGCAGCTTGAGAATGAATCTAAAATGGATGCCTTCCAGGAGGTGGGAGGGTCTGCTAGGGAGGGTGTGCTGCTAATTGGCTGGAATGTGTCTGCTGACTGTGAGGTACAGGGTCAAAGTTTACTCAATGATGACGAATAGGGGGCGGGTCGAACCGCGCATATGTTCGCCCGCCGTGGCGAACGCGAACATGCTATGTTCGCCAGGAACCGTTCGCCAGCGAACCGTTCGGTACATCACTAGTGATTACAGACCACAAGAACCTCTCCTGCATAGCCGAGGCCAGACGTCTGTCTTCTAGCCAGGCTAAGTGGCCCTTATTTCTGTCTCGCTTCCAGTATACCATAACATACAGACCTGGATACGCAACATTAAGGCAAATGCTATATCCAGGCAACACTAACCACTGGAGGTCAACCCCTCCCCTCAGAACCCATAGTCCCTTCCGCCAACATTATTACAGCTACACATTTGGTTATCTCTTCCCTCTTTTTAGATAAGGTGAAGAGATATCAAAACAAAGCACCACCTGAAACCCCTACAAGTTTATTGTTTGTACAGGGAAGGGACAGGAAAAAAGTCATGACATTGTTTCATAGGTCCAAAACAGCGGGACACCCAAGCATCACAAAAACTTATGATAAACTAGCTAGACAGTTCTGGTGATCTTCTGTTAGGAGGGATGTCAAAGAGTATGTTATGGCTTGTCAAGTTTGTACTCAGGCAAAGTCTCCCACAAGCAAGCCACCTGGTCTCCTTATGCCACTCTCCGTGCCCAAGATGCCTTGGACGCACCTGTCCATAGATTTTATAGTGGACCTTCCCCCCTCCGAGGGTCACGCGGTCATTCTGATGGTGATCGATAGGTTCTCTAAGATGGCTCACTTTGGTCCACTGAAGAAGCTTCCTTCTGCTGCGCAATTAGCGGAGTCCTCGCAAAAGAGGTATTCCGGCTTCATGGCATACCCATCGTTATTGTCGCTGACAGGGGCCCTCAGTTCATCTCATTATTCTGTTGGTGTCCTTTTCCTCATCCTATCACCCACAGTCAATTGGGGCTGCTGAAAGAGCGAACCAATCACTGGAACTATATTTATGCTGTTTTGTGAACGAGCATCAAGATAATTGGTCCCGTCTCCTCCCGTGGGCTCAGTTTGCCAGAAACACAGCCTCCCATGCCTCAACTGGCTTGCGTCCTTTCCGGGTGCCCTACGGTGTACAACCTAGCGTCCTTCCTGGTGTATTCTCTGACAAGGGAATACCCACTTTGGACAAACACCTAACCTCTCTTCGGGAGATGTGGGATCAGTGCCGGACTGGCCCACCGGGATACCGGGAAATTTCATGGTGGGCAGTCGGGACCTGGGGCGGCCGCTGGAGGAGCTATTCTGGCGTCCACAGGGGGAGCTGTACTGTCTCTGCTCACAGCGCACTACTTAATGAGACCGGGGCCGAAAAATGACATCATATTCCGGCCCCGGTCTCATTCAGTAGCGTGCGAGGGCTGGGGTGCAGAGACAGCACAGCTTCCCCTGCGGCCCCCTACCCAGCTACTCCAGCGGTCATCATCCCTGCTCCTTCTGCGGCCACCATCCAGGCTCCTCCAGCAGCCGCCAGCAAACCCAGCTCTCTGCCCTGGCCGGTCTCCCACATGTACTATGTGTAATGCTTCAGTGTATGTGTGTGTCTGTCTGTCATGGTGTGTGTGTGTCTGTCATGGTATGTGTCTGTCTTGTGTCATGGTGTGTGTGTGTCTGTGTCATGGTGTGGGAGTGTGTGCCTGTCTGTCTGTCATGGTGTGGGTGTGTCAGTGTCATGGTGTGTGTATGCCTGTCTGTCATGGTGTGTGTGTCTGTCTGTCATGGTGTGTGTCTGTGTCATGGTCTGTCTGTCTGTCATGGTGTGTGTGTCTGTGTCATGGTCTGTCTGTGTCATGGTGTGTGCCTGTCTGTGTCATGGTGTGTGTCTGTCTGTCATGGTGTGTGTGTTTGTGTCTGTGTCACGTTGTGTTTGTGTCATGGTGTGTGTGTGTGTGTGTCGTTGTATGTGTGTTTCTGTCGTGGTATGTGTCTGTCGTGGTATGTGTGTGTCTGTCATGGTGTATGTGTGTATTTTAAAAATAATGTTTTTACTCACTTTTTTTTTCCCCATGCCATGCTGGTCTCCCCTCATCTGGCCCTTCCTCTATGGCTGAGATCATCAAGCTTGCCATAGGATTGGCTGCAAAACGTTACACCAATCAGCATCTCCTCATAGAGATGCATTGAATCAATGTATCTCTATGGGGAACCTTCAGTGGCTCCAGAGCGTGGAGATCCTGAATGTAGGTGCTGCTCACTGTGTAGCACTGACACAGGAAGCACCTCTAGTGACCGTCTGAGTGACTGGCACTAGAGGTGTCACTAGAAAACAATGTAAACACATCCTTTTCTCGAAAAGGCAGTGTTTACATTGAAAAGCCTGCAGGGACAGGCTATAGACACCAGAGCCACTACATTAAGCTGTGTGTGTGTGTGCGCCTGCTAGTGAGTGAGCTTGCTTGCATGTGTGTGTGTGTGTGTGTCTGCTAGTGAGTGAGCTTGTGTTTTTATGTCAGTGAGCTTATGTATATCAGTGAGATTGTTTGTCTATGAGGCTGTGTATCAATGAGCTTGTGTGTGTCAGTGAGATTGTCTGTGTCTGCATGTGAGTATGCTTACTGTATAATTAAATGTTTTACTATGAAAGGACCAAAATATTTTATAGTAGAAAAAACAATATATATATATTACTCAATAATCTGGGGTGGCAAGACATAGCCTTACATATTACATGCAACAATATATAGCACATTGACTTATGGTGCTGGCATATATTTTTTTTCCATGGCCTGCTGTGTGGGACCAGTTCCACCTTGCTCACACGTGCTGTGGAATCCCAGAAAAAGATTGCTTATTCATAGGGCTGTGGCTCACGTTTATGTGCCGGGTGACAGAGTATGGCTGTCCACGAAAAACATACGCCACCACGTCCCCTCCAAGAAGTTGGCACCAAAATATATTGGGCCTTATAAAGTCTTGCGCAGGGTTAATCTTGTCTCTTACACTTTGGACTTGCCAGATGCTCTGCGCATCCCCTCCTGTGTAACCGGTATTCGAGGCCTGTTAGGCATCCCGGCCCTGTCCGTGCCAACTATAGTGAGGAGCAGTCCCTTCTCGACTTCCGCTTCTTCAGGGGCATCTTAGAGTACCTGGTTCACTGGAAGGGTTACGGCCCGGAGGAGCGTTCCTGGGTATCCGCCTTTGATTTGAATGCCCCTTGTCTTGTTAGGGCTCCTTTTCCCTTGAAGCCTTCAGATTCCTGCTCTCCTGGCAGTCGTAGGGGGTTGAGGATTATGTCAGGTCTCTCGTCCTCGTGACGCTCATGGCGATTTTCCTTACCTCATCAAAGCGAGCAGCGTCATTTGGTCCCTGTCTCCAGACTGGTAGTG